TCCGTGAGCAACAACCTTCTTTTTTTGCAATTTCCTTCAAGGACATATAACCAAATAATACTAACAATATTATACTGAATTCAACAATATTAGTTAATTCAATAGCTCAAATATTTTTAAAACATTACCATGTATTTTGGCTCACACCACATATCACATAGATACTCCCAGTCTTCTTTGCTACGAATATTTGAAGGGGGTTTAGTCTTTGCCTTTATTGGGTCTTCTGGCCCTCCAATCTCTTAAAGTATTTATGCAACTCAGCTCGAAAATTTCTCCATGACCTTGCCATGTAGCTATCGATAACTTTGCAAACATTCTCATTTTCCACATCAATATCAAAAAGCGTCTTCAAATAACAAACATAATTAACTAGTTAGTAATGAAGATGTTAAAGTCATACTAAAAAACACTTACAGTTAGCTTGTGGCGTAATGGAAACTTCTCTTCCTTCGGTACAAGCCTCCACTCTTTGTGTTGTAGGCTACAGTTCTTACGTAAAATATAGCCACACTCATATGTGAAAGGTGATTCATTGTTACATATTACTCGCCTTGCTACAAAATTAAATTCTACAGGCAATCTCTTCTTAGACGCTTTCATTGCCTTTCGAGCACCTTTGCCACAAGTGATGCCACGCTTTGCAATTGTAGCATTACTATCACTTTCTTGCTCGGTCTCAAAAATTGTGTCTATAAGCAAGTACAAGTAGATTTATGTTAACAATATCGCATACTACAATATATTAACAAGTGATTTAAACATACTAACCCGATTGTTGCTCTCTTTGATATTGTTCAGCATTAGTAACTACTTTTGTTGTAGATGGGTATGTTTAAAAAATTGAAGATGTAGTAAGGATTAACATCATAAGATTAAGAGAAATGACAAAAAAAAAAGTTCTTAATTGTACCCGAGATTGGAGAGATTAGATCTGGCCGATTGTTTGAGATTAAGGGGTTTGTATCTCGTGATAGTGGTAATCAAAGTAATTAATAGAAAAAAGAAAATAATTATTGGTTAAGGGGTTTGCATGTTTTTAAAAAAAAAACTACATAAATGGCTCATGTTTTAAAAAAACTACATAAAGGTCCCTGTTTTAAAAAAAAAAACTACATAACTGGTTCATGTCTTAAAAAACTGCATTAATGGTCTCTATTTTAAAAAAAAAAAATATTACATTAACAATCCTTTTTTACAAAAATTGCATTAATTGTCATGTTCAAAAAAAACTTCATAAATGATCCTTGTCTAAAAAATCTGCATTAATGATCCTGTATAAAAAAAAAAACTACAGAAATGGTCCCTATTTTTTTCATAAATAAGAATGTACCTTTTTTTAATCTAAAATATTGATTTATGAAAATATATCAAAATCTTACCCGGAACTGATGTGTTGTAGGGAGTGGTACGTCGTCCATCTTCTCTTCCTAGTCCACCTCGTTTACCGCGTCCACCCCTTTTTGACATTATGCTTTTTGCAACTATAAAAACACATTTATAACTCAACACGATAATACTAAATTTAGCAGAAAAATGCTTTCTGTAACTATAAAAAACATATTTATAACTCAACATGATAACACTAAATTTAACAAAAAAAAAAGCTTTTTGCAACTATAAAAAGCACATTTATAACTCAACATGATAATAATAAATTTAAAAGAAAAAAGCTTGTTACTAAAAACTAACCTATATGTATCAATTAAATTAAGCAAAACAATCGTCGTCATCACTATTAGGATTTGGATTATCAGAATCATTGTCAGTCTCCGAATCAAGAATAGCTTCATTATTTAAAAAAATTCTACCATCATCATCAAATTCATCATCAACATCATCTAAGTTATCGGCAACGACATTTCTATTATGTACTGCTAGCACCGCATCAAGTGGTAATGTTTCAGGTTGTACATCATTTCGAACTATGAAAGAGGTGTCAGGTAACTCTTCGGATGGTTGAAAAGGTGGCAGTTCACCAGATTCCTCTCCTTGAAATATATCATTCATCAATACTTCGTCTTCAACATGCTCTGGTATGTCATAAATATTACGATGGTTTACTCTTTGGACCACCATCCAATTCTTCCCACGTGCTAAATTATTCAAATAGAAAACTTGTTGAGCTTGACTGGCCAAAATAAATGGTTCTTCTACATACCACTTAGATGTAATGTCAACTGATGTTAAGTTGTGTTCAACAACCATCTTTTTTCCCTTTGGATCGGTATTATACCATTTGCAACGAAACACAAATACCTTTCTCCCGAGTATGAAATCCAACTCTAAAACTTCAAGTAAAACACCATAATAAATCAATGCATCATTCTCATCCCCTACACACACTCCACTACATTGTGTTTTAAACTTGTCATCACGCTCCTTGCAACGAAATCTAACACCATTCACGATACAACTTTGCCAACTTGTGTAGCGATCATCAGGAAATTGTGACAAGGCGTACAAATCATCGGTTGCTTTAGGATCACCATTAGCCCTAAGCAAAGCCATCTATCAACTACTTAGTTTAGTTATAAATGTACTTAAAATCAATTACTAAAAGTAATAAATTTGTAGTTTTACCTTTTTCTTGAACCAAGAGGGAAATTCATTTTTTTGTATGGTATCTATATTTGCTTGTTGTATATTTCTTGAGTATAGAGATTCTTTGTGCTCCCTAAATTTAAGAACAAGTTAGTTGATTTTTGTGAATTAATTAGTAAATACAAAATATAAGTATATCTAAAAATATAGGAAACTTACTCTATGTAAACATCAAGTTCATTTTCACAATTATTAATGATGTACCATTGCACCACATCAACATACTCCCCTAGTAGTTCGAATTTCGAAGCACCCAATGCACGGACTTTATTGGTGAATACCTCCAACCCATGTTGGGTGGTTGGTACATCCCAATTGCGTTCATCGCGGTTGAATCTTGTCTCGATATCATCTACATAACGAGATAAAAATGTGACAGCCTCATCGACAACATATGCTTCAGTAATGGATCTATCAGGACGAGCAAAGTTACGAACATATCCCTTGTATGTACCCATACGACGTTCGATCCCAAACATCCATCTTTGGCTTACTGGTCCTCCTAATAATGCCTCCTCTGGTAAATGTACGCACAAGTGAACCATGATAGTGAAAAATGATGGAGGAAATATCTTCTCAAGTTTGCATAATATGATTACAATCCCAGTCTTCATATCCTCAAGTTCTTTAGCATATAGAGTCTTAGAACATATTTTTTGAAAGAATTGGCAAAGCTCGATCAAAGTTGTACGTATTTCGTTGTTCAAGAAAGGAAGAATGGCTACTGGTAGTATTTTCTGAAGCAATACATGGCAATCATGTGTTTTCATCCCCCCGAGTGTATTAGAATCTGTCGCACATCGACTTATGTTGGATGCATAGCCATCAGGTAGGCGAACAGACTTAATAAATTTGCAAAACTCCACACATTCATCTTTAGTCAATGTGAAATTAGCATGAGGTTTCTCAAATTTTCCATTTCTCTCTCTTAGCCATTGATCCTTGCGAATATTAAGATCCTCCAAGTCTAAACGTGCATTTGTAGTATCCTTTGACTTCATGGGATCATTTAACAATGTCCCAACTATATTATCATGGACATTTTTCCCTATATGCATGACATCAAGATTATGGCGCATCAATAGTTTAGACCAATATGGAAGTTCAAACAATATACTCTTTTTTGACCAATTAAGCTCATTAGCACCTCGTTTACGCTTCTTATCGACATTACTAGGTGCTTTTCCAGTAGTGCGTCTTGGAATATCCGCCAACTGTGTTAGAATTTGATCACCTGTAAATCGGCGAGGTTTTTCCCTTAGCTCTTTCTTCCCATCAAATTCTTTGCTATTTCGCCACCTATGTGTTTTGCTTAAAAAACATCGATGTCCAGTATAACATTGTTTACCACGAATCCTTCTAGAACGGGTATCCTCAAGGCATATTGGACATGCCAGCTTACCCATAGTACTCCACCCAGACAAGTAAGCATAAGCAGGGAAGTCACTGATTGTCCATATTATTGCGGCATGAAGAGTGAAAAGTGATTTTGAATGTTCATCATATGCTTGAACCCCATTACCCCATAAAACTTTAAGTTCGTCTACAAGTGGCCTTAAGAAGATGTCAAAGTCTTTACCAGGAGATTTTGGCCCAGGAATTAGTAATGTTAGAAAGTAACTACTCTTATGCATTGTACACCAAGGTGGCATGTTATACGACATCAAAATAACAGGCCACATGCTATATGAAGTTGTCATATTGCTAAAAGGGTTAAACCCATCTGAAGTCAACCCCAATCGTACACTCCTAGGATCATCTGCAAAATTAGGATACATTTTATCAAAATGTTTCCAAGCCTCTCCATCAGCCGGATGACGCAAAACTCCAGGCCTCTCCATCAGCCGGATGACGCAAAACTCCAGGCCTCTCCATCAGCCGGATGACGCAAAACTCCATTAGAATTCAAAGTATGTCGGGCAACATTTAGAAATTCCTTTACCCCGTTCACATACTCGATAGAGGTCCTATTCTCAATCTTGACCCATTGATGACTCATACGTTGTATCTAACCATTATTACCAATAGAAATCAATTAGTGTAAAGTTTTTTCTATGATGCTATAAGCTGGAAATGGCATACAATCAAAATTAGATAAGGTAGTTCACACTTAGTTCAAATTAGCATTGTGAATACAACTTATGATGGAAATGTAATCTAGACTTAGGGTTATTTTATTAATTTTAAGAAGTAAGTCTTGCAGTTAAGATGACAGTTACAGTTGGGAAGGAAGTTACTGTTAGAAAGATGATGGGAGAAGTGAGAAAGATGATGGGAGAAGTGAAATTTCAGAAACACCCCTGATGGTTGAAGTAGTAAAAGTCTAGATTAAGGGGGAATGATGGAAATGTAATCTAGACTTAGAGTTATGTTAGTAATTTTAAGAAGTAAGTCATGCAGTTAAGATGGCTGTTACAGTTAGGAAGGAGGTTATTGTTAGAACCGTTATATTTTGGGTCAAAAGTCACATTTGTTCATTAATATCTCTCTTCTCTGATAAGTAATGTTCAAATTATTGCTTTAATTCAATGTTTCTTGGGCTTAATCCCAACAACTTACAGGTGTTTGTGTGTGTTTAATTCAAATTATCATTGTGAATACAACTTACGGAAAGGAAAATTTTCATTTGTTTCAATGTTCTAGTGTTGGGTTCTAATGTTGTTAGCGTTTACGTTTTTTTATGCTTTAGGGTTGATAAAAATGATTGAACATGGGGTAAACATGGTGAGTTTTTTTTTTCCATTCTGCTAGATGTTTTTAACCATTACAACAGGTGAGAATTTTTATCTGTCATGTCAGAGACTCATATGAACAGTGAACAAATCTTCTAAAACTAAAATAGAAGAAGTTTACAACAGTTGTTCAAGATTTGTAATCTTTATGGGAAAGTGTTATGTTAAGTATACGTTATTCTAATAGAAACAATGCTAAAATTCTGCAAAAAGGAAGGCGTATTAAGTTTTTTTAACATATCTTTATAGTTTTAGGAGTGGTATTGAACACCAAAGAGATTGCCAATGCAGATTATAAGGTGAAACTATAGATTCTTTAATGTAGTATTTCTTACTTATGCTATTTTTTTTATACAGGCTCCCCAATAAACAAAGAACAATCAGGTAATTTTTTTTTGAGAAACTTTAGGTGAAGTATGGTTGATCATTCTCATATCATTTTTTATGGCAAAGAGCTAAAACTGCATATTTATAGGGCTACATTATTTCTCATTAGAAAACTTGAAATTATTAATCTTATAAATTAGGAGTTAACACCATGATAATGGGTTAATTAATTTTAAAGTGTTTCGTGGTTTTCTTATGTGCTATATTGTAGGAGCTATTTTCTAAATACAATAGCTTGGCTATATACATGTGGTTGATTCTTATGTCATCTCATTCTTAATTTTTTTAGTATATCGTTGAACAGTGAACAAAGCCACAAAAAAGTGATATTCTAAAAAGCTTTGTATTCAAAGGTTCAATGCTTGAGGAACAGAGCCTTCTTAAAGTGATTGTCTGTGATTATTATGTTGACATTTTTATATTGACTCAATTTATTCATTCTTGATTTTGTATCATGTATTGAAGGTATATGTATTAATACGATCTATTTTTTTAATATGGTCAGAAAAAAGTGAACAATATTTTATCCTTGTTATACAATACGGTTGTTTGACGGTATTATATTTAGATTTTTGTAGTAGTAAAAGTAATAACAAAATCAAAGAATTATATGCAGTAAACAAGTTCATATGGCAAAAAAAATGGGAAACAAGAAAGTAAGGAAAAGAACCTGAACAGATAGACTGGACTATGGAGCAGAAATCGATGATGAATGGAGAAGGAATACAAGGGCGTTGATGTTGGATA